GAGAGAGAAGGACAGAGATAGAGAGATGTCGTTGGTCGTCTACCGAGGCCGTCAGTCGATCCCTCGGCTACGTCACTAAGGGTACGTCGGTGCTTGTTGTCGTTCTTGGTCGCCTGGAGGTGGCACGATATAAGCAAGATAGCGGCGGCCCTGGCCGCACCTGCTCTGGACGCTGGTACCAGGGGTCCGCGGCTGCCGCCGCTGCTCGGCCTCCTGGTGAACGCGCAGTTCAGGGGCCCGGCGCTGCTGCTCCGCTGGCTCGATCGCGAGGACGGCCGTCCGTGTAACGTCAGCGGTATGCCTGCGAAATTTATCTTCGGACAATTATTTGTGCATACGAGAATCGTACGTCGCTATCCGCGCGACATACCGTCGCGTGTCATACTCTTTTTAGCCTTCTCGCATTCGCCACTCGTGATGGACATCTCGTTTGACCTTTCGAATGAGATATCCCGACAAGTCGGTTGTCCGACTTTTCGAACGAGATATTTCTGATACCGTCGACGTTTACTATATGTCGAATATATGTTACGTACTCCGATATACAACAATATATGGTCTAGCGCGATTCAATGTTTTTTTTTTTCGATATCAGACATGGTTATGTAAAAAGAATAAAATTGCGAAAAAACCATTATCATTTGAAGCGAAAATTAGGACGGAAATAAATGTTCACATCGATATCATTTTTGTCCAATGAAATCTTTAGAAACTATTGTTATTGCATGAAAGAAGTTGTGCTTAACTAAGGAAGAGACGTATCATATTAGTTTTAGATGAAGGATATCATTAACTCTTCCCATACTTTATATTTTTTTTAAGTTATCTGCTAAAATCTCATTTTCTTGCTGCATTTGGTTTTAAAGTACAGTTTGATGTGTGACGTCGTAACGTAACGAAGTCAGACGAGAATAGATATCTCTCTTCGGAATATACTATGCGTCGTATCGATATATAGATACCTTTTATTGATTTTGTAGAAACAAAAGTAGGTTCTTCATGAAAAGGAACGATTATTATCGTAGTATTTGATATAAGAATACATTGAACAATGCAATTTTGGGAGAATTATAAAAATAAATAATTCGTTTGCATTTTGCTTAAAATAGCAATCGCAAATTATAATTTCTATTTGTATAATTATAAATTGTGATTCTCTCATTTCTTTAAAAATAGAAACGTTATTTTTTAACGTTAATTATGAATTTCTGAGAGAAATATTAATTTCATATAATTATTTACCAATATCAACCAATATTTACCAATATTTACCAATATTGATTTCACCAATATCCACTTTTTAACTAGAATAAATATTTTTAACCTGAAAGAGAAAATTGAAATATTACGCAAAATTGTAATTATATTCATAAAAATAGTCCACTCTTTAACTTTTAATTAAAAATAATATTATTATTAAAATAATAAAATAATATTATTATTATATTAATTATAACAGGCAGTGTAAACTTTACTTTTCTCCATTTGAAAACAATGATTTACAACAATTTAATGAGTATATTTTTAATTTTAGCATAAATTTCAATTATAATGAAATTTATATAAACGGAGTAAGTGTTCGCGATTAACGTCTCACTCTGAAGCTAAGCTTCTTTTCGTAATTCCTATCTACAATTCTTCTAATGCGATCTCTTCTTAGAACATCGGAATTAATTGGTCATTACTTACCCGTATCACTGGAAAACAGCATGGGTGGCGCATGATTGGCATTGGCGTAATGCCGCGGCCTTGAATACCTCGCCCGGCTGAATAGTTTGAGCACGAAGCATATCATTGCCGTAAAGATGGCTATCCCCGATGCTATGCAGAGTAGAGTCGGAAGGTCTGTAGTTATCAGCACCAGATCTATCGGGCCAGATTACGATGAATTAAAAGAAGAGATGGCGCGATGGCTCGTCGCGGATCGATATCAAAATATATTTCCTCAAGCCTTGCCCCAATAACCATGAAATTTATTTTAATGCTTGTAATAATTAACGGGTATATCAAACGTTGTAGAGTGACTAATTTTAAAAAGTAATTGATTATAATTAATGTCGAGAGATGAAATTTTTAATTTCTAAGTCTCGCAATTGGATTGTAAAAGCCTAGAAATCTCGAATAGATAAGATTAAAATAATAAATATTAAGGATAATAAATAATGGAGGATAAATAAATTAAGGATAATAAATACCCTCGGCGCAAAAAACCTTCTTGTTAGGCCTGGATAGAGCAACCCTGTGATATCCCTCCTCGCAATCGCATACCGCATTGTGTTGAATCTGCGTGCACGTCGAATGTTGATCCGCGAAAGTGCATGTCGCACGATAAAAGCACTGCTCTCCGAGTTTTTTGGCTGAAAGTAATAATCGATAGTTTTGCATATTGAGGAACGTATCTTTTATTCAATAGGAAGTTAATCAAAGTTCCATTTGCTTAAATATATGAGAGATTCTCAATCTTTTCTTAAATCATCGACAGAACTCTTTCTTCCAATTCAGAAAGTTTTTACATTTCCATATTGTATCTGCAAATGTGCGCTTATGAATGCTTGTTAATTCGTCATTTCTAAATTGCTTACATTTTTAGCGTAATATTAGGTAACATTTATGAATATAACTTCATGATTTTAGAAATTCATTTACGGATCTCGCACTTTGCGTTCGCACTTTTGTGTAAAATAAACGAGTGCACAAAGTCTTTTCATGCCACCGCACTTCATTCAGGCCATCAGGAACGCGCGAACATTTATTTTCACCGACCGTTACCATGGAAATTATGATATTGGAATGACCTACTTGTTAGGCATAAGGGGTAACTAGTCGCTAGCTTTTACATACGTTTGGCACATCCCTTGGTAGGCCCGAGACGAACGGGATAGAACTTTTCGCACTCGCAGAGGCCAGTGATTGAATCACAGAACACGTGCTGTAGCTCGGGATTGCACACGACGTCGCAAGGCGAGCCCAAATATCGTCCTTTTTCTGCAAAAAGTCACGTAAATATTTAAAATTTTGCTTCAAATGTCGTTAAATGGCACTTTGATACGCGGCAAATAATGACCGTTTTAGCTTTCAATAATTAAAATGACTACTAAAACTGAGATTTTAATATTTTCATTTTTTCTTGCCATTATAAAATTATTACGGCTTATGCCGTATATATTTAAAACAGTATACAATTTTTTTTATTATGGGAGAAATTGTGAATGATCTATCTTTAATTACAATATGTAATACAAATTTAATTTCTTTTGTTTTAATCTAAAAACATTTAAATATTTCTGCACCGACATCTCAGCAGCAGAAACAAAAAATTTATACAGTGTTGTGTATTTTTATTAACAAATGCTTGCTATATTGACATTTTGATAACTCCGTCGCAATGATAACTCCGTCGCGATGAAAATGTGAGTTTTGAAACAACGCAGGTCCTAGGTTCTACGATTTATTAATTCAATTGCGGAACTTAGATACAATCGATTAGCGGTGCACCAACTTATTTATTGTGGATTCTACCAGGCTATTGTAAGCACACTATATTCTCTATTTCTCTGTTGGTTTCGCAGCAGTAGGTCAAGCGATAATTGCTAACTCCCTTGGCAAGCTTTCAAACTGCAATGCAGCGATAATGTGTGAACAATCATAAATTTCCTATAACCGAAACACACTCCCCAAAACACAAGCTAATACATTCACCTTATAAGTTTCAGTTAGACAAATAAATTTTATTATTACAAATTATATCTTTTTTGAGATATGAAAAGATTAATTCTTATCTCACAAATAAATATATCTTGAATCAAAAATCACAAAGTTTCTACTTGAACTTCAGTATTTTTTTACTTTATTAAAACTTTGTTCTCTACATTACAATAATATATATTTATCTATCTGTATTTATCTATATTTTAGATATATGGATATCTTTATTTGTCACTCGCTTACGACGCGTTTCTTCCCGAATTGTATTATTCGGATCAACGCGTAAATCACTTATTTAATGACAATGACAGTCGTGTGTGATAAATGTGCCTCCCGTCATTTAGCAGCTCGCACAGACGAGTATGCAAATGCAGAGATTTCAATATTACAGAACTCATTGTTTTCTGGATAATAGCGTCCGCGCGACATAGTTTGCGTGTCGTTTCACGATGATCGCGTACTCCTTCAGTTTTGCGTTTCGCCGTTAGAAATGCGCGGCCTCGACTGGAGGTTCTTTAGCAGGCCGCGTTTAATTTCGTACTGATTAAAGTTCATTGCACGTACGCGTTACGGCTACGTCGCGTGCGCGTTATCGCGCTCGCGTCGAGCGAAAATTTAGATTTCGCGTGATTTACGGATAGTTCAACCGAAAGTTTTAATAACGCTTGATGGATCGGCGCGCGTGCAACTATATTAAGTATAATTAAGAAATTATGCGTTCAAGTCATTAAAATTTTCTTGGCTTATATTAATTAAGCGGAAGCCGTCGAAAGTTTCGCAAAATGTATCAAGCCAGACAAATAAGTATTTTAATAATCGAATAAACATGTATCCCTTGTTAAAACATTACCCGTATGTAATAAATATATTTTTACTATCTGGAAAACGACTCTTGTAATTTTGCAATTAACAAGTTTGAAGCGAAAGCTTGTCGTCCTTTTTTGCAATTTATGTAAGATTAATTAAACGGCTAAGTTTTACTTTTCATGTTAATTCCGTTCCGTTCGATTGCATCTTTCTAATCGAGAAGATTCGCACCATGAATAAAAGATCAAGGAAATGCAGATCGACGATGCGCAATTCTTTCGTTAAGTTTTATCCTCGTGGGAAATTCTGTTTTCGAAAGAGAACGAACACAGACACTTATACAATGCAAGTGTCACACGCGGACCTGGAGAACGGAGCTTGCGGCATCCATTAAAATCAATACCGGGCGACATGCTTGGCGCGAAAATCAAGAAAATTTCTCTTTGGTTAACGCGTGCGCTAAAGTCAATTGCTAGAAATACTTCCTGCTTTCTTTAGAAACATAAGAATAGCACGTTCGATGTTTTAATGTAAAATTGCAAAAAGATAAAAAGAAATAAACAGATAAGAAGAGCACAACGAAATGAGTCTGTGTTAAAAAATGTAAAGTCTTCATTAAAGGAATAGAAGATGTGCATGACACAGCAATTTAAATTTCATAAACCAAATAAAAATTAATAGGATTTTTAGAAGTAGAATAATAATTGTAATAATTGACTTAATCGTTTGTCACGGCCATTTTGTAAAAAATATTCTTTTTATTACAATTTAGTATTTAAAAAAATTAATTTTACAAAAATAACTTATGTTTTACGATTTAAAAAACTAATATCATTATTTTTATATCAAATTAATAGATTTATTAATTTTGACGTACAAATTATGTTTAAATAATCAATTGTTGATTTAATTATAGTCAAGAATATATTCGGAAACAAAGGTATGTGCTTTAATGGATGAACATTCTTCAGGAAAATGTTTGCCCATTGTGAAGCAGACACGGGCAAGGAAAACCTTGAGAAATATATATTATCATCTTCGTTCGATCGTTATTGTCTTATATGAAAATAGAGCAGTCTCCGTTTAGGATAAACATATTTCGATGACTAATTACATTAATTATAAAGTCAATTAAATAATGATATTTGCTTCATTTATTATTTTGCATGCTTATTTTTATAATGTATCTTTTTTAAGTGTTTGTTTAGTTTTCTTCTGATTTTACCAACACATTTCCTTAAACAATTTTTTTATTGTAATTTGCCTTCTAAAATAATTTCCAAGCGTTTAATTAGTATAATTTATAGTTTTAAAAAAATTAGATATTACTTTCTTATTATTTTATCAGTTCATATTTATATTTATGTCATAATTTCTCATGTAATCTAGGAATCTTTAAGCTTAAGTGAAACAAAAAGATTTATTATTTTTCAATTATTATTTTTTAGATATTTTTTTACAATACACTGTTTTTTACAATTTAATAGACATCTAAAGAAAGATTGAAGAGCAGGAAATAAAAGAATATATTTAACGATAATCTAATTAGAAGTTTCACTCATATTATATGATAATAAAAAAAAGAAATATTCAATATATTGTCAGATTATTGATATTATTTATTATATTATTTAAAAATTATTTTGTGTTTTTTTTTAATATTTCGTAATGGAGATTACATTAAATCTTTTTAATGTTAATTATGCACGTCAACTACTAATTTTTTTTCAAATTTTAAAAGATATGATAAATTTATTTATCACTAATGTTATTCTTTAATAAGAACTTAAATGATTTTGTCTTCAGCGACATCATTTAGGTAACGAACTAGCACAAAGATGGTTTTGGCTTCTAGATATTTCTTCCTGAAAACGTTCAATAATTAGCATAAACGATTTTTCCATCTTAGAAATGATAGTCCATTTATCATTTGATGGTTCAGATGGAAATTCAACGATTTGATAGAGATATATTTAGAAGCATTTCTATATTTTCAGAGTATTAAACTGTTTAACGATTTGTCGTTATCGAATTTTAATTTAAGTGCATTGTCATCCCTGTTCAAAGTACAGTTAGTCTCCCGATTATCATTGTATCGCACGAATTGTGCCTCAATACTCACCCGCGGTAATATTACTATCGAAATAATCATCCTCGAGGTCGCCATTGTCGGCGGATATCTCCTCCTCGTAGACCTCGGCGCCGTCGCCGAGGTAGTTGGACTCCACCGCGTCATCATCACCTGCCGACTGTTCTCGAATCCGGCTTGTTATCTGCTTCGGCGTATCGCTGATGCAGGGTGCAGGTATCAGGAAGACGACGAGGCAGATCAGCAGGAGCCAGCAGCAACAGCAGCAGCAGGAGGTCAGTCTCAGGGCGGAGGGAAGCGCGCTCATCGCCCCCGCGGCGCGAATCAACCCCCGAAACCGACCACCGACGGCGCATCGACATCCTTCCCCGTCGCCTGCTCTCCTCACCCTCCCTCCCGCCCGCCCGATCTCCCCGGCGCACCCTCGCGCCGTAGATGCCCCAGGGAGAAGCGCCTTACGTCGCGTTCGTCGCTCGTCCGTCTACCCGCGTCCGTATTTCTTCTACGTGTTGGCGCAATAAACGTTATTATCACTGCGAGCCCGCTGCGCCCGCTGCACGAGCGTACCGATGGCGAGGCTCCACGTAATCCAGCGGCGCGTATTCGTAATCCTGCACGACGAGTATCGCGAGGAAACGCCGAGCCCCGCTTTCGGGACCGCTCGAAACCGCTCCACCTCGTTCACTGAACGATCCTCACACAACGGAGCAGAAGCGAGAACGGACGCGGCTGCAGCTGCGCGCAGCCGCTACTCCGACGCGGCGGGCGTCGCGGCGCCCCGCTTCGTCCTCGCTACGCCGTCGGTCCATGCCACGTCGATCGAGAGCACGGGGTTAGTCGCCGTGGGTTAGTCTCTCTCTCCGGAGAGAGAGCCGGGAAGGTGGATGTATGTATTGTATGTTTCAATAGTTAATCGGTCGGAAGCTGACGCTGGTGTCCTCTTTGTTTTTTTTTTTCTCTTATCCGCTAAGATTCCTCGTCGCGTCTTCCGGGAAGTCGAGCGCGCGTCGACGGGAAATCTCTTGACGAAATCACCCGGCGCCGCGAGTGAGCGTGTCGAGGTTTGCCGAGTGTTAAGTTACGCCAATTCGCGCCGTAATCGATTCGCATTCGGGGGAGGGAGGAAAAAATAAAGGCAACGAGAGAGAGACCAGCATGCCTCTCCTGCCTTCGCTTCGGTTAGAGTTAGGTCTTATCGCGGATTGAAGTTTCGCTGCCTTATCGTCGGCGGACATCTGCTGGTGGCAAGTCTGTAACTGGGGCAATAATTACAGTCCAAAGGAGGTGACCGATATATTGCGGCTGTACACGCCGAAAATGTCTCGGGAATGTCTCGTTATTGTTGAACAGTGTTAACAGTTTCAATTGCGTCATATGTTATAACTATATAACTTGCGATCGTTGTTAATGATTCACTGCAATGGATACTACAGTGAATTCTAAACGTGTTCGTATCAGATGTAATTTATTTTAACAATTTTGTTTTATATAATATTTTCATTATTAGTGTTATTACTAGTGTTATTAAAATAACATGATATGTTTAAAGTAAATAACATATGTTTAAAGACATAATATAAGCTAGGATAAATTTGAATATAAAAATATTATCATTAATTATGATTATTGGCTAAATAAATGTTAGTTATCTAAGTACAGGAGATGTCACAAACAAATATATATCATTTTATTTATTATTTCTATGACCGCTGTTATATTTATTACTATTATAATAACTATTAAAATCTGCTTTTAACAAAACTTATTGTTTTCGTGTTGATGTCTTTTTCAAAGTTACATCTCATTTTCAGGTAATAAAACTTCACTGCAGTAAGATTCTCGTATGAAAATGTTTGCCGATATACCTATCAAAACAAATATATCAAAATAATTAATTATATAAAAAATAATCATATTTAGTGCAACATAAAATATAAGAAAATATTAATTATAAATTTATTGTTTCAATATTTGATATAATGACCAGGGAAATATTTTAAATTTAATATTGTCAAAATGTTAACTTAATGTTTATTTTATCATTCACATGAAATGATATTTGTTATCATGAGATACGTGAAACAGGAAGAAGAATGCTGCTTTAATAAGAAATATCTTTGTATTTTTAAAAATATTACGAATTATATAATTATTATTATAAATTACATAAATATTAGATAAACATTTTGAAAAATACCTGTTAATTTCTTCTTCTGACGTTTGTGATATATTACAAATGCTGCCACTGTCAGACCTATAATCAACAATATAGCGATACTCACAAAAGGCCAAATTATTTTGGTAGTCGAGACTTTATAGTGAGACGTCATGTAACAAGGCAAATCTGAAAAATAAAAGATAATAAAGACAAAGCCAAGATTTTTAAGGAACATATGCAAAAAAAAATTCTAAAATCTTGAATAATATTTACTAAATTTATTATTTATTATTTATATTAATTACTTAGATAATTTTATATAAAAAAATTAACATAATTTTATTCTGATCTATAATTTCTTGTTATAATTTCTATTTTATTATCGATTTCAAAATTATTATAAACTAATTTGTATAATTAAACAAAGTTATTTTAAATGAAGTATTAAAAATGAAGTATTTAAATTTGTTTATACCATTTAAAATTGTTACATAAATTATTTAAATTTATTCATATTATAGAAAATAATATGTGATAATAAAAAAAAATTTTTAAATACGAATTACAAATTTCCACAAATAATTACTAAAATTTTTGTCATTACGAATGAAAAATATATAATTTGTTTACTAAAATGTAAATACCTGTACTAAGTAAGCACCCGACAGAAGTCATATTGTCTTTATCAGAAGGTATCACATAACACAGAGTATCTTTGTTGAGAGAATCATTACACTGGTAACAATTTGGCGCGCTCTTCTGGATTTGCATGATTGTGCTATTTGTATCATTAAGAATCGTGATTCTGTAATTTGCAAATTATGAAATTTGTTTAGTAAATTATTGAACGGTGTTCTTTGCGAGGTCAAGATTGGGAAATTGGCGAATCCATAATATTCACCTGTTGATATCGCCGTGATCGTAGGTCATAATTGTGACACACATGGACGGTTGATCGCAGTCTTCTCCCGTCCATCCGAAATGACACTCGCATTTGTAATCGAGGTTGTGATCGATAACGCATTCGCCATGTCCACTGCAATTGCGAGTACATGGGGAAATGCAGTGTGGTCCCGAATCATTGTAGACGTTTTGTACGAAATCTTTGTGACAAATGCAATGGTCCGGACTGATGCAATCACCGTTCTGGCAACCTCTCTTGCAAATTGGCTCGCAAAAATTCTCGTTTCGTGGTGTGAACCCAGCGTTGCACGTGCAACGATTCGGCTCTGTACAATTGCTATTGATGCATGGTGGAGTGCATGAAGGTACACAACCTTCACCGAATACGTTCTTCACGTAACCGTGATTGCAGACACAACTGCCAGATATGTCGCACCTCTCGTTAATCTTACATGAGAGCGCATTACAAGGACGAAATTCGGTACAAATGCGATCGTCTGAATTATTTTGAGGCTCAGTCCACGATGGAAGATAACCATCATTGCAGGTACATACATTTGGCGCAGTGCATTTCCCTTCGATGCACTTGAAGTCACAAATCGGTTCGCAGAAATCTTCATCATCATGTTTCTTCTATTTATTTATTAAACGTCAAATAAGTTCTCTTAAATTAACCGCAATTAAATAAATTGTTTATATCTTTTATCTATGTAAGCTTGTTCTCGTATATTACTTGAATAATAATGACAGCTTTACTTCTAGCAACGAAAATCGTGGATATATTGATTACTTTAAATTATGATAATTTTGCGAATATAATTTGTAACTCAAATTTTAAAAAAGAATTTTAAAAAGAAATTTTTAAATGCTCAAAGAGTTTTAAGCCGAGTTAAAAAAAAATTTTTTTCACTTTTATATATTCAAAGCTAAAGTTTACAGCATAATTGCTTTCATGTTTAAATAGTATTCTTTATAATAATCTAATATATATAGTCGCTGCAAATAGCTATAAATTAACTAAAATGTCTTTTTATTAATATCAATAAAAAATTAGAGAAGTGATACAAATGCGAAGTAATACAAATTGAATCGAATTGAATCAGATGGGATTTAATTCAATTTGTTTCGGATTTGAATCTCTATAATTCAAATCTAAATTATTAAAAAATTTCGAATTAAAAAAATATAAATCACATATATTAGCAATCTTATAAATCATTTTGTTAAAAAAAACAATATCATTTTTTTTAAATAACGTAAGGATGCATTCGCATATGATTTTACAAAAATAATATATTGTTAATTAAAAGTTAATTATTTAACAATTCGATTCTATTCAGTTCGATTTGATTCGAAAGAAATTTTGTCGTCTTGATTTAAATTCGAGAAAAGAAATAAGATTCGATTTGATTTGATTTATTGTCAATAATTCTTGATTCGCACATCTTTATAGGAGACATCTTTATAAGAAATATAAGCAAAACATTTAATCGAGGAAAAAGCGTCTCTTTTATAAATATTGAAGCCTCTATTTCGTATAATGAGTATATCTTATGTTGAATATATATTATGAGTATATATTATGTTAAAAATTTCAATAATAATGAATAATATTTATATTTTATATGAATATACTTACTATTAATTTGAGCAACGGATGGAATTCTGAGAAAAAAATCGGTATCTTCCTACGATATCCATAAGAACAAATACACGTTTGGTCCGAGGTACATCTTCCATTTGGCTTACAATGCTTCGAACAGAGTGAGTCACATGTGTTAGTCATATTATTAAAAACAAATCCGCTCCGACAAAAGCAATTTCCGGAAATACACAAACCACCGACACATCTACTTTCACACGCTAATTCGCATACATATTTGGAATTCTCACGGAGTTCGTAACCCTCTTTGCATTCACAGATCTCAGGCGCCACGCACGTGCCCATCTGACAGGGCTCGCTGCAGATCGGTTCGCAGAAGCTTTCATTCACCAGTTTGTAGCCTTGGTCGCAGGTACACGTCCCCGGTGACGTACACGTTCCGCCATTGCATGGCTTGTCGCATTTAGGCTTGCAGGTGAATATTGGATCGTATTCGTCCGGTTCGTAGCCGTTCGCGCATTGACAGACGTTAGGAGCCACGCAATGACCGTTCTTGCACGGGACAGCGCAAACGGGCTCGCACATAAACGGGGAGGAGTCGTTGCCGACTCTCCTGTAATTGGAACGGCACGTACACACATTCGGCTCGGCACAGTATCCGTAATTCTTCTCACATTCCGTATCACAGTTCGGCCGGCAAGTGAATCCGTCCGAGTCCAGCCAGTAGTTCTCGTTACAACTGCAAAGCTCGGGAGCGAAGCAGGTGCCGTTGATGCAGCCATTCGAGCATACCGGTATGCAGGACTCCTTACCGTTCGCGTCAATAGATTTCTCGTATCCTTCGTCGCAGACGCACACATCCGGCTTCTCGCAGGTACCGTCCTCGCATGATTGCGAACAATGCGGCACACATTTCAAACCGGATTCTACGTAACCTTCGCAACATTTATAGTTAACACTCCACCGAACGTGGTACTGTAAAGGTAATTAGCGAATTAATTACTCACACTTGCAGTATGAACAGATGAAAGATAGACAAGTCGTTTGTCAGATAAAAATAAAGAAAATATTAGCATTTTTATTAGCAAAATTACTTCTCGTCTCTTATTTCTTTTTTATTTCTCTTACGAACATTATTGCAAACGTTATTTATATTAGTTTGATTACCTTTTTCGTGGGATGTGGCTCAAAATAGTATATTGCTTCCCGCCGACTGTAATAAAATTAGAAAAATTAATATTTATCTGTCTATATATCTAAACGAGTAATTTGCATGATGTTTGAAAACAACCAATTATTTTGGAAGTGGATATGTACATACACGTATAATCTATTTTTGAAAGAGTATAATAACAAATATAAAAATACCTGACAAGTTCAGTACATATTCCCTCTCTATTATTATCGAACAGGTAATGTCCGAGTTTAAACTCTGTAGCATTTGCATGCTCTATATTCACTATTAAAAATAATATTTTGACAACTAAAATAACGATAAAACTGTTAAGTAATCCCATGATTCGTTATTTCTATGAAGACGATGCTCTCGCCGTGATATCTAGACTGACTGTTGTAACCCTTTCTGTCTCCATACATATATATTGTCTCATTTATCTTTGCTTTACATGTGTATGCTTTATATGCTTATATACTACAGAATTCTTTTCAAACAGGATGTACACTATCAGAGAGTTACTTAAAGCATATGTATTCGTAGTGTAAAGTTCGTTTTAAAGTATCACTACTGCTCATGTTCAAAGAGTGATCCGAAGTAGGAGTAATAGGAACATTTATTTTAAACTTCTACCTTAAATAAATGCAAATATAAAAAAAATAATGTCATATAACTCTCGGACGAGATTAATGGTGACATTAATATTATTAATTATAATATTATTAATATAACTATAATAATTAGTAACATTTGACTTAAAATATAAGGACTAAAATAAAAGTTTTACAACATCATGATATATTTTCCGCAATAAAATAATAATGTAGAATATATAAAGTAGATTACTTGTCAAAATACCAATTATTTAGTTCACAAAGATAAACATGAAAGTTTTATGTAAGATGTTCCATAAAGAAATCATCAAACCATTAAACTAAATAGAATTGACCTAAAATTTATTTAAACTTTTGTGCTTAGAATAATTTCCAGGATATCTTCTGGAAATCAAAAACGTGGAAACATTCTGCATTTTAAAGAAAAGGTTTCTCTAGTAATTTCATTATCATATTTTTGATAATATATTTTACATTTATCTATATATTTTGTAAAAATATATATTTTCTTATAGTAACTTTATAACTATTCAAGAAGACCATAATTGTATATTAGTAACAAGAGTGTTACAAAAGATTTATTTTATTGTTATGTTTGGAAAAAATAAAACAAACATTTTTTACATGCAAGCAAAAGTTTTATGTTTTCCGATCGCCGACTCAATATGTTCATACAAATATGATTTTTCATTGTACCTGAAATTTTTGCTATTAGTGTTTTCATAACAGAATATATAGAATATTTTATATATAGATATATAACAGAATATATAGAATATTTTATATATATATATATATATATATTTATATGTAATGTATCATATTGTACATGTAGTCTAATATCTGAGTTGATTCGTGATGCAATGCATTTTCCTGATTTAAACTCATTTTTTTTACGTGTTTCGTTCTAATTTTTAATTAGGATCGTTGAATTTTTTGCTTCAAAAACTATAAGAGATGATAACTATTTTATTTTTCCCAAGCACAGCAAAAACAAACCTTTCTTTTTGATTGCATTTATTTTAATAACATGATTTAAAAATATATAAAAATATAAATATGTTATATAAAAATGTATTAAAAAACATATAAACAATTTTTTAAATAATAAATTTTTTGCATGCATACAAAAATTTAAATAAATCTTATTTTATTTTTTGCGATGATAACTGTTACATATATGTATTTTTTCATATAGAAATGAATAATTTTTTCTTGATCTATATTTGGGCTGCTCAATTCGAAGCATTCTAGTATGATAAGATAATAAAACAAATTTTTATCAATTTATTACATATTGTATACCAAAGAGAAAAAAGTCTTAAAAATATATACTAGTGAAGAGAAAAAAGTCTTATAAATATATACTATAAAATTAAAAATTGATATGTGATATAGTAAATATTTTAATTCTATATATTAGTAGTATGTAGAGTACTTTTTAAAATTACTATGCTTTGTTGAATGTTATCGAAAAGTTTGAGATTAAATCATAAAATATAATTTCAATTCATTATGTAGAAAAATATTTAAATTTAATTATAGCACGATACAAAAATATGTTCAAGTATAAAAAATAAATATAAATATAAATTTATTAATTTTTTAATCAATTTATATTTTTATATAATTAAAAATCTTTTAAATTTCTGTTTCTTAGATATAGAAACGTAATAAATTTGTTATGATCTTAAGTAAAATATAATACATAAATGTGTATAAATGAAAAAGAATTTTATATAAACCTTTATTCATTAAACAGCGAATTTGCTTTTCATCCCTTGTGCCGAACATCTCAAAGCACAAAGTTTCATTATTTATTTTATCAGTACATTTGGAACATACTGGGTTATTTATAAATATATTCTCGATCGTAGTGTTATCATAATTATATTCCTTAATAACTGTCACTTTAAAAAATAAATAATTCACAAGCAATTTATTTTAGATTAATTATGTTACTGTCAAAATCCTTTTGATTATAATATGAAATTGCTCTGATGTTGGAATGTTTATTCTTTCTTTATTCGTTTATCTATTAATAATATTATTATATGATAAAGTTTAACTTTAGTTTGGCATTCATGAGTAAAATTGATCCAAGAAATGATATAAATAGATAGATATGATATAATGGATTGATCCAAGTAAAAAATTTACGAGATGAGTATATTTTCAAGATAATTTTAAATTTTCAAAATTGAGATTTCTGTGTAAATAATCTTTGAAAAGTGCTAAATGAATCTGTAATAATTAGTATTTTTATTAATTTTTATGTTTGATATAATAAATACAATTATCGCTCTGTAAACTTTAGTGCCAAAAGTAAGGAATAATTACATTTTAAAATAAAGAAATAATGAAATTTATGAGTAATTTGTAAAGTTTTTAAGTATATAAGAGACTGGTACGAGATAGATACAGGTAGATAAGAAATAAATATTTTTAAACATATAAGAAATAGGTTTTAAAATTAAAACTTTGTAAAAAATATTGTATAATCACAAAAAATTATAAATTTTATTAAATTCTCTAAAATTAATTATATAAACTTCTTGTAATTTATCTATTAATATTAAAATACTGAATATTTGTTAATATTATCCACTAATATTATGCATTATATTTCCGTTATTGGCGTGAAATCGATATTTGATTCTGTCAGAAACTTTGGATCGAGTTATGATTGTTGAAAGAGCAACTATAGGAAAATTTCGACGACAGTGACGATTGATTTGTAATATTTGTTGAGTTTGAAAAATCAATTAGCGAGCTTTCGACAAGTCAGCAATTACGAGCAGTAAATTACTACTAAGATTAGAATCTAGCAAAAGAACGATCGTAATAATAGTAAAATTGTTATCGAGTTATTTGACTGTGACTCAATCATTATACGATGTCATATTAAATCATATTAAATCATTATTAATCACGCCTAAAAGTACTGTTTTTTCATCTTGACAATTCCAATCAAGAAAATACTTCTACAATTAAAATACTGATTTTTTTTTTTAAACATTAAATTATAAAATAGTTATTAAATTTTGACTATAATACATATTAGATATAAAATTTTTCATTTAAAGCATGTAAATTAACTTGTTTAGTCATAAAATACTATTTCCAATACTATTTCTATATATATTAAAAAAATTTACAAATAATGATTAAAACAAATATATATTTTGATGAATATATATTATAATGATTGTTTGTATTTTAAAAACTATAGTACTTGTATGTAGACAAATTTATTTTGATGTTGATATAAACATATCAGAAAAATTAGTCTAAGTTTTCATAGATTTAGTGTGCCAAGATAAGCAACAAAAAAATTTATGCTAATGAAGGTTTAAATATGCTTATTAATATTGTTATATTATTTCATTTATATTATCTGTTTCACTAGAGAAATATGAATTTAAAAAACGTTTTATAGATTTTTGTATACTCACGGTTCCATATGATTCCCTTCGTCATTCAAGATCAACACGCAGAAGGTTGGTCGATCGCAATGCAATCTGGACCATCCGTAATAGCATTCACAAGTTTCTATCGACGCATTCGCCGTGAGTGCCGCAGTCATCCTGGCATGTGAGCACGCAGATACCTTCGATCTTCATGAAATCAGTACGACATTGACACTCGCCCGGAGCTACGCAGTCATCATTATCGCAGCTCTCGCAACGTGGCACGCATTAGCTTTCGTTTTTCATTTCATTTTCAGGGACAATCGATTTCCCTACTTCGAAACTGAAGTATACTTCCTCCAGACTGAATCCGTCATCGTATTCACAGACCTCAGATGCGACGCATGTGCCGTTGACATAGATCGAACAGAAAGGCTCGCATTTCCGTTTCAGTTTCAGCTCTTTGACAGTCGTCAAAACATGTGCAAACATCCGGCGCCGTGCACACGCCGTACTCGACGCTGCAAATTGGATCGCACTTGAACGGAACGATTCCTTCGTCATAATAAATCATGCGATAACCTCGCAGACGCAGAGATCAGAGGCTTTGCAAATTCCATTTGTTTCGCAAGCCGGATGACAGATAGGATCGCACGTATCTGCTTCGAGATCTCGTCGATAAACGATAGCCCGGATTACAATCGCATTTGTTGGGCTGTACTCAGATACCGTTCTTGCAACTTGGATTACAAATGGATTCGCAGAGACTCGTATGATGACCTTCCGTAGGTTGATAACCGGAATTACAGGTGCCTTCGTTTGGCGCAGTGCAATGTCCATTAATGCAATCAGTCTCGCAGATGGACTCGCACATGTTCGAGGAATTGGAAGGACGATAATCTTCGTTACATTCGTAAATTTCAGATGCACTGCAAAAGCCGTTGACGCAATCCTGATTACAGATGGGGACGCAGACGCTGGTGTCGTTGCCGTCTGATGGCTGATAGCCAATATCGCAACTGCACGTCTCCGGAGCGCTGCAGTATCCATTGATGCATATTATTTCGCAGATGAGTTCGCAAATTCAGTTATTCTGGGTAAAATGTCTATTCTGAAAGTCAATATTTTTTATATAAATCTTAAGATTATTAATGGATTAATTTTTTGAAGTAACTTTAAACAATAGAAACACTATGTTTAGCTTTAATTAGACAAAAAGATTTTGTTGAAGTATTTAAACATTTGCCGCAGATATAGATCTCTAAAAATAATTTTGTTGTTGGACCATCAAAAATAATTATGCAGGACATTTAATTTGGTTACCAAACTATGAAAAGTTTTGCAGGATCATCATTATGCCTGAATGTTCTAAGTAATCATTCTGATATTCTAATAAAACTATTTTTATATTTAAATAATATTTTTATATCCAAATTTTACTCCAGAAAAACTGTTTTTTCTAGTATATAGATATTCTAGTATATAGATATTCGTATAGGTTTAGTTATTTAAAAAATAGCTAAAACAAATTACTAGACAAAAATAATATAATTATTAGATTAAAATAAATAAGTTTTATTAAACAAATTATAATTATAATTATAATTTTAAATTATAATTATAATTTTATAATTAAATATATATAAATTATAATTATAAATCTTGCTAAATTGTAATCGCATCCTATGTTGCACTGACATCATATTCTATACAGCAAAAATGCTCAAAATATAGGGGATAGTTTAAAGATTTATTACGATATCTTTAGGACATCTCTAATAATGTATTTTGGACATTTTTGCTGTGTGACATAATTTTGCAAATATAATACTGACATTGATGATAATTGGCATTTTATTAGGATGTAATCCTTCCTAATACTTGCAGGTATTCGGAGAGATACACACGCCAAATGGTCCGCAGGGCCTTGCGCAGTGAGGTTTGCAAATATGTTTTTCTGTCTCGTTGTCACTTAATTGGAATCCTTCGTTGCACGTGCACACTCCAGGTGCAGTGTATTTTCCATTGAGGCAAGCCTTTTCGCAGATATATTGGTTCGCAGATATATTTCGAGTTCTCGAGAAGTCTGTATCCCGTAAAGCAGTTGCAAGTTTCGGGAGCTATGCAAGTGCCCAAACTTGTCTACAGATTGGTCCACAAACGGTTGAACTCCTTGGAAAGTAGCCTTTGCAGCAAGTGCACATGTTGGAAGCAGTACGCTTGCCATACCAACAACCATATTTGCATATTGGTTTACAGACAAAGAATAATTCATGTTCGTAATCATCATCACAAGTACAAATATCGGAAGCTGTACACTTGCTATGAACACTCTTTTTTTTGCAAATAGGCTCGCACATTTAATTTATGATGTGAATTTTTATAATATTTTTTTTTTTATATATAGAATTATCTATAAGACCAATGTGTTCCAAATAATTTACAATAATTACATTAATTTACAGTCAAAAATTATTTTCAACTAGATTGTTAGATGCTGAAAATGATGCTGTGCCAAATCAAATTTTATATTTCAGTAAATAAATGAATTTGGAATTTTTTTATAAAAAAGGTTATCTTTCTGATGAAAATGGATATCCTTCTGATTCTGAAAGGATATTCTTCTGATTCTGATTAAAAATCATAAATGTATTATTCATTCTCTACGAAGATATGTTTTTTTTACTTGGTTAATTTGTAATTATTATCTTACTCTTTAGTTATGTT